ATTAAGATGACTTGAGTCATAATGTCACAAACTGGCTTTTAATTGTTGGATCTTGATCATACGGCTTAGAGTTTCTTATTTTTAATTTTAATTCTATAAATAATTTTAAAGCCAAATTTGATGCATGCATAGATTTGACAAGGGCGCACATGACAAAAATAATAGGAAAAATTATGTAAATATCTGTTTTAATTTTCGTTATTACTAAAATACCAAATACTTTTTGTTATTATTGGCATGTCCGTTTTTTTCCTTCATAATGAATTTTTTTAAAAAAGATGTTTTGACACTTTTATGATTTTTCAAAAACTGAAATGTTTGGAATTTAGGTTTTTCAAAAACTGAAAATGGCCGTGATGGTTTAAACGCTCATGTTCTCTGCTTTGTGTCCCATAATCTGCTCTGTGAGTCTCAAAGCTGCTCTTCTGTGCATATCAAAAAAACACTCCCTCACAAAAAACCTAACTCTAACTTTGGATTATATTAAAAGCTCATGTATCATTACAAGAATTTGACAACATTTCTTGGATTTTGAAGGCATTTCGCAGATTTCTGATCTATAGTGAAGGTATGTATACAATGATTTGTGAGTCGATTTTAGAAATGTAAGTTGTATAAGATTTTGATTTAGGGTTTTGATTTAGGGTTTATATGCAAGAACACTAGTTCTTTCTCATTAATTTGAGTTAATTCCAGTTAATTTATGGGTCGATTTTGATCGTATAAGATTTTAGAAATTTGGGGTTTTTAAGAACTATAAATTTTGGGATTTTTTATAACTAAAAATTTATGCACGAGGTTGTATTGAGTTAATTATTATTTTTAGTGTATGTGAGGAAATTTACAGAACTGTGATTGATCATGTTTGAGAGGTAACACATTTGTATATACTGTTGATGTGTTGCTTTGTTTTGAATGCTGGACAGATTTTTCATTATATTGTATTGTGTGTTAACTTTGATACTCTTAGATAATTTTAAGTATAGATTTGTGATAGATATAGGGATATCTTAAAAAAGAGTTGATTTTTCTTGTCGATAGATTGAGTAACTTAAAAATGAAAATTTGTATCTGATTTATGATGGATCTTATTGAACATTTTGCAAATGCCTGTGGTTTTAGAAGTACATAGGAAATAAATAACATGCTTTATGCTTCAATATTTTGAATAGAATAATTTGTGATTAGATTTATTTGGGAGCTTATTCTATATGTAAATATGGGATCACCTATTTGGAGGTTTAATATGAGACTTAGCATTGTTTCATTGATTCTATATGTAAATGCGTGATGAGTTCTTGGTATCTCGATATTCGTTCTTTTGTATTATCATGTTCTTTTCATAGATTAGTGCTTGTTATTGTAATGGTTAATGTAAAGAGAGGAAACGATGATAAGCTAGGTATGAGACTTATATTAGAACCTATAGGTTGAGTTGAAGAGCTTCATAACACCAGGTTATGGTCTAAAACTGACCATCTTTTCTATTTAATAATAGCATGTCATTATTGTTTATCAGTTATTCAGTTAAGTTTTGTATACGTAACCTTATAATCAACATGGTGACCATATGGGGTTTCAGTGAATATAAATCATGTTTATCTATATGAGGGATATCCAGGAGGTCCTCAGTAGTTTGCTACAGCTGCATCCAGAACATTCATCCTATTACATTTGAGAAGGACAAATATATGCATACATTCATTTGCTCTTTCCATTAGTTTGTTATTTTTTAAATAAATTGTAGCCTGTTTAAACATCATACGGGAAGTACATATATTTATATTGTGACCCATATGTTTTCTATTTGTTGTATTCCAAGAAAAACAAGAAATAATAATCGATGAAAAAACACATCAATTAAATACTTGCCATCTAACCAATGAGTAAGTTCAATTAGTGAATGCTTCTAGGTTGGGTGCTCTATTTATTATCCAGTCAAGTCAAATAGATCATCCATTGGTCGCAGCCAATGTAAAGAGGTGGCGCTCTGAGACCAATTCTTTTCATTATAACCTTCAAATTGGTGAGATGACAACTACATTATTTAATGCTTACGAGATATTGGGATTGGCTATGGATGACGACTGTGTTAAATGACGTCCAATTAGTGGCCCCCAAGAGTTTATAGAAAACAATTTGGGTGAAGTCCCTACTGGAAGTAACTTGGCAATTATCAATCACTCATGGTCCTCCGCGAGTTTATAGAAAACAATTTGGGTGAAGTTCCCTTTGGAGGTAACTTGGCAGTCATCAAGCACTCATGTCCTCTGAGAGTTTATAGAAAATAATTTGGGTGAAGGCCCCACTGGAGATAACTTGGCAGTCATCAAGCACTCATGGTTGAAGGTCAAATTCCGTCAATTGCCACCTGAGTTCTTAGGTATACCCATGTCTACCTACTCTTCCTCTTCAACGTCACCATTTTCTCAGATCCATCGCATGCAATAGTACCAACAAGGTATTTACAATTTTTTGAGGATATTGAGGAAGTTGACTGATATGCTTGGGGTGCTATGGCCTTAACATGTCTTTATCGTTCCCTCGAAAAGGTTTATACTTTTAAGCGAAGACATTTTAGTGGTTTAGCTACTCTTGTGCAAGTAAATTATATTTTCGTATCTTACATAAGCATAATAGTTTAGACTACTTTCCAAAAATAATTATAGCTTATCATATCTTAATATAATCCAGTGCTGGTCTTATGAGTATATTATGAAGCTCATATCACATATTACCTCTCCAAATATACCTAGAGTAAATAGATAGGAGCCACCAAATAATTATTATGGCAATCCACATAACCTGATACCTCCAATTAAACAAGAATTTGATAACTTCCAACCTAATGAGGTTAGTGGTAACTTTGATATTACAATATTTATTATGATTTGATATTGATTTGTTTTAAGTATTTGTAGTTATTTGTTGGCTGATTGTTGTATATGTGATTTCATATCACATGATAGATAATATGGAATTCCTATTTCAAGCTAAATGATGTCATTTCAGATGATAGACAACATGCATTTGGAACCGCAATGTGCATAACCATCTTGATATTTGAAGATATTGCCGAGCCATATATGGCTGGTTGTGTGTGCTGACAATTTGGAGCTAAACAGAGTATTCCAAAAAATCCTATCTATGTTGGTAAGAGGTCTAGTACACAAGGTGGGCATCGAGATTGGAGAAATGCTAATTATGACAAAATCCATCATTGGTTGTCTCGACATGAGCGCATGATACCAGTTATTGAAGTGGATACTGACAATGGGTTGCCCTCAGATGGAGTACAAAGCCTGGTACCATTGAGTGACTCATAAAATATGAGTGTTACATAATAAATCAAAATAATGTACTACTAAAAAAAGTCAATAATTCAAAAAACAAAAAAAAAGCAACAAATATTTATACAAACACAAAATAAACAACAAATATTAATATAAACAAACAAGTTCAACAATATCTACCCAAAACAATAAATACAATATAGTGTACTACTATATATCAACATAATGTAGCATAAAATAAATCAATTGTTCAATAAACTACCCAAAACAACATATATTAATACAAACACAAAATAAAAAACAAATATTAATACAAATAAACAACTTCAATAATATTTACCCAAAAAAAAGTTTGCTTCATCAATACCCAACAAATATTAATACAAAAATAAAATATTGTATTAATTATGATAAAATTAATCAACAGTATACAACAAGAGTAAAAAAGGTACCAATCACGACAAGACTGAGAGCAAATATCTTCAAGATTGTGGAATACTATATAGAAGGATAGAAAAGCTCTGTATTGGGGGAAATTTTTTTTTTGGAACCCTAAATTTAAAATAACAAGAAAAATACTCCTATATGCTTGTAGAACACCTTAAATTGGGTTTTTTTGTACGAAAAACAGAAACTTTAATTTTCAGTTTTCAAAATTCGAAATTAAAAAAACTGAAATTTCAAAAAGTTCGGTTTTTGAAAAACTGAAAAAGGGTAAAAATGACCTTTTTTAAAAAAGAAAAAGTTTATATAAAGTTGCAACCTTAAACCTTAAGATGTAGAATTAAAGATCACCTAAAAAATCCATTGGAAAATGTTGTTTTAATGATGAAAAACCTTCTAATTGATCATCTTGACATCGAGATGTATGGATATGAAGAAAAATAAATTTGTTTGAGTCCGATAAAAAGTGTATCTTGCAACACATTATCTAGACGGTCTATTTTAAAGATTTTCTTATATTCATATATCTATTTGATTTTATTTACAATTTTATCATTAGATATGAAAATAGATTTTGAGATAATCCTAAGAATTTTGTACACAAAATTATATATTTTTGATAAAATTTGGAGGTGCGCCTTAATTTAGATCGTTTAAGGTTGCAACCTTTTAGAAAAATAACGTGAAGCGGAAAAAACAGTCACGCCAGTAATGTAGGAAAGGATTTGACATTTCGATAATAATGAAAATTAAAATGGATATTTACTTAATTTTCGCATGATATTATCTACAACTTGAGGCCAAGGCTAAGCTCATGTTGCCAGCGCCATTTTGCTGCTCTCAGATAAGGCCCTGCGTGCTTTTCCAAAATCCTTCTTGGCAAAGAACGAAAAATTAGAAAACACTCATTTTCCATTGATGGGCACGCATATTCTCACTCCAAGATATTCTGCGCTGGGTTTTGCTGCTCCTTCATCTTCCAGGTAAAACATTGAACCCCCCGTTTAATGTAAAATGGGGTTTGTTTTAGTGTTCTAATTCAATTCCTCCCCCTAGAGAAAAGCTTCAAAAGAGTGAACAATTTTGGGTAAGATTGCAAGCTTAAGAACTTGAAAGTTTGAGATTGAAATTGGGTGTGTTTCATGGTTTCAGTGAAAGTCTACAGCTACTGTTGTTTTCACTGGTTAAGTATAGACTGTAACACGAACGTTGTAAAATTCCATATATGAGAACTCAAAACAACTGTTATGTTTGACAGATGATTTGGACATAAGTACTTCGAAATTTAGGGTTCTGAAATGGGGTTAGTTTTGAGTTTTTATGGAGAAACTGCAGAACACTGGTAACATATATTTGGTGAGTGAAAACAATCTGAAAATAACCACTTTCTGCCAAGAATTCACCCTGAAAGTTTTAAAATTTAGGGTTCGGGGATTGAGTTCAGTGGACTTTGTATGGTACTTATGTGAAAAAACTTAAGTTTCCTTTCTAGCGAAGGATATTTGGTTTCTAACTGAATGTGTTTGACCCCTGAAAATTTAGTACTTTACCATTTCTAGTAAAGACTTGGAACTCTCTGAATCAAATTAGGAAAAGGAGGAAGCATTTGCCATTCCTCCATCCTTTGGGGAAAGGAAGCAAAATCAAATGAATGGCTGGCGCCTTCTCATCTTCATCAACATTCCTGTCATCTGCTAAGCATGTTGCCTGTTGCTCCGACAGTAGTAGCAAAACCCACTATGTCTCCTTCCCTGTTTCCACTTCTTTCCATAAACACAATAGCAATAGACCCTCTCCTCTTCAAAGAAGGTTGCCTTTCTTGCACAGAGGAGGAGGAGGTGGCCATGCAGCAGCAGCTGTTCGAGGGAAGCCGAAAGAGATGGTGTTGGGAAACCCCTCGGTGACGGTGGAGAAAGGAAAGTACAGCTATGACGTGGAGACCCTCATCAACAAGCTGAGCAGCCTACCTCCTCGAGGAAGCATTGCGCGCTGCCTCGACGCCTTCCGCAACCGCCTCTCCCTCGCCGACTTTGCCCTTGTCTTCAAGGAGTTTGCCCTCCGTTCTGACTGGCAGCGCTCCCTCCGCCTTTTCAAGTACATGCAGCGCCAGCTCTGGTGCAAGCCCAATGAGCCCATCTATGCCCTCATGCTCGGCATTCTTGGCCGCGAGGGCCTCCTCGATAAGTGCTCCGAGGTCTTTGAGGAGATGCCGACGCAAGGTGTCCCCCGCTCTGCCCTCTCCTTCACTGCACTCATCAATTCCTATGGCCGCAATGGCCAGCATGAAGTGACCCTCCACCTCCTTGGGCGCATGAAGAGGGAGAGAGTTGCACCCACGGTCCTGACCTACAACACCGTGCTTGCTGCTTGTGCTAGGGGAGGGCTTGAGTGGGAAGGTTTGCTGGGCTTGTTTGCCCAGATGCGGCATGATGGAGTGCGCCCGGACATCGCCACGTACAATACGTTGCTCAGTGCATGCGCATCGCGGGGCCTTTCTGACCAGGCTGAGACCGTCTTCCGGGCGATGAATGAGGCTGGTGTCCTGCCTGATGTGGCGACACACAAGCATCTCGTGAGTGCTTTTGAGAAGGTTGAACATCTTGAGAAGGTATCGGAGCTGCTTGCTGAGATGGAGTCATCAGGGAATCCACCAGATGTGCCTTCATACAATGTCTTGGTGGAAGCACATGCTAGGTCAGGATCGGTGAAGGAGGCAGTGGCTGTGCTTCGGCAGATGCAGAGGGCGGGCTGCGCACCCGATGCATCAACCTATGGGTTGTTGCTTGACTTGTATGGCAGGCATGGGCGGTACGAGGAGGTGCGGGGCCTGTTCCTGGAGATGAAGGCGGGAGGCACTGAGGCTGATGCGGCCACCTATAATGTGTTGATCGGGGTTTTTGGAGAGGGAGGGTACTTTAGGGAGGTGGTCACCTTGTTTGATGATATGATTGAGGAAAAGGTGAAGCCTGACATGGAGACTTATGAGGGCTTAATATATGCTTGCGGAAAGGGTGGCCTCCATGGAGATGCGAGGCGGATACTGTTGCATATGCAGGGGAATGGAATTGTCCCGAGTGCAAAGGCTTACACTGGAGTCATTGAGGCTTTTGGACAGGCCGCACTCTATGAGGTACTAATTGTTCAATCTCTCTCACATTTTTATCCATTCTGCTCTTCCCTCATTTCATTTTTATCTCTGTTGGTGGGATTTTTCCTGGCAAGTGGTTAGTTTTGCTTTTCTTTTTCACTGGTTTGTGATTCAATGTTAACTCAAGAATCTTGAAGTAATTTGGCAGTGATAGCTGAACCAGATGGGCATATGATCCCCAAATTCAAAACCTTGATTTGATACATTCAAGCTTCAGATTTTGACTATATTGCAAAACCTTAGACATCTGCTACTAAATGATTCTAGAAATACCTAAGAAACACCGAGGAGGAGAATGACAGCTGCCCAAATAAGTGGTTTATCCACTCACTCATATGCTTCCATGTGCACATGACATACATTTTGGAGTTATTCGCATGTATTTGAACATGACACAAGTTGAAATTATCGATATAAGCCAATAGAAAGAAAAGCTTGGGAATTAATTCTATGACTTTAGAAAAACTTATTCTTTTCGCAAACCATTGGTCCCATATAGACTACTTGGCAAGCTTATGGTACCCCTCTATTTCTTCATTTGGATGCCCCTTTTGGGGATGCATCCAATTAACGCTTCCATCTCCTCCATGTAACAATGCTACATGTTTATCTTAACTTCTTTCAATGAACCTCAACCATGGGTGCTGATTCCTAGTGCTTCAATCCTGCACCATCTGTTCAACCACAAACAAAACCTTCTAAGAAATCTTAATGCAAAACACAGCTCCTTGAAATGTTGAATGTAATGCCCACGCAAGCCATTATTCCTTGTAAATGCATCAATGTTTGTTGCTAGTTTGAATCCCTCCATAGTCATTGCTGCACGCCCAATCCAACACACCAACAAATATTTCTTACTAAAAAAAAGTTTGTTCCTACAAGGACCTCACCCGAAGACTATTGCCCTCTTTATTTTCTCATCTCTAGGTCTTGTTAGCAAGCAACTCTTTCTTGGCACCTCTTTTGATGTCTGAACTCTCTGCTTAGTAGGTTTGAATGCAGCCTCAACTTTGACCAAATGAATCTTAAGTCTTCTAACACCCTTGTCTCCACAGGCGAAATCCTTTTGTAACTTTTAATGGTGTCTCATGTCTCAATGCATGGGCCAGCTACTCTAAGAATGGATATTAGGAAGAGTAGAGCAGTAGACTTGATTTGTGTATTTTTGCTGCCCAAGGATGACATCATTTTTCAAGAAAACTACCTCATTTCCGCTTATTTTTAGAGTTGGGAACTCCAATACAAAGTCCCAGAAAAGCAGTATATGAGCTCTCCACCCACTTCCAATATCTTTAGTCACATATAGTATACCGTATCATTACCACATATAACTCCAAATTCCAGGCCCGTTGAATGTGTTAACCTTGTTGGCATGGTTAACAAAAAAAGTTCAACTTGTTAACCTTTTCTAGACTTATTTAAGTTAGATCTAAGAAACAAGGCTTGGTCAATGCATGCTTTTACATAAGCTACTGTTACTATGATAATCTGGGATGGTTGGTTATGTTATCTCCGTCCAGTGGGAGGTGATGGGTTTCATTGTCATCTTGGTTCCACCATTGGGAGATGTATCCTGATCCAAATCTTTTAGCCCCACTTAAGACTAAGCATTATTTCTTGCACAGAATATCTTCACCAGCTTGCTGTGCATGTTGATTCTTTTCCTATCCATAAGCTTAAAGAAAACAAAAGGAAAGTTGGATTTGAAGGGATCATTCTTGCCATCAATCTCAAACTCAATTATGCATTATGAGCTGTATCTTGATCCCCTTGAATTGGGAACTGAATTTGGTTCACATTATTTGTTACACCTTGGTACTCTTCAAATGAAATTCATCGCATTTTTTCCCATTCTATGGTCCTTTAGACATTTCATCTTGCTCAAATCTTATTCGTTGGCAGCTTTCCATTACCACCCTCTTCTTCCTATTTATTTTGGAGCCCTCCTCTAAGTCTTCTTAGATAAGTGGTAGAAGACAAGGTGATGCAACCTTCAGGATCCTTTTGTGATCCCTATTCTTGAAGCGTCCTTCTCATAAATGTTTTCTTCTATTTCCTTATGACATGCTGCAAGGCCAATATTGCTTGGGAGACTGAGTGGGACCTTCTTTGACACAAATCACATTGTAACAAGCAAAACGCTCATCAGGGGCAAGTGCAGCCTTTTAAACTATGGGTATTAGAGGGATGATCTTAGAGAAATGGGAATTTCAACATGCTAGAGTGTATAATGTAACCAATCTTCATTATTCTTGTGCAGATCTAGATCATTGCACCATACTACAAGCAACACAATTAACATTCTGCTGTTATACCAATATTTTAAAACAAGGACTTAGGGCTCGGACATGCTGGGACCTGAGGCTGAGTCATCCACCTACTCGGCCGTGTCTCTGGATAAAATTGAAAGGGGGGTTGGGACTGGGTGAGACTCACTTGTATTTTGGCCTTTTCCATCTGGACCTGGCACCCTGCTGTGTCCAAGTTATTTGGGTGAGGCCGATCCTGAGTAATCAATTTATTTATCCCTGGTTGTAAGAGTGTCATTTTCCTACTTGTGCATTTATTTGTCAAACAAGACACGATATTTGTAACAACAAAGAAGTCAATTTACAAAGCAAGTATATTTTCAAAGTTATGAACAGCCCTTCTGTACAAGAAGAAATCCTAAATTACTGAAGAATTTCAGCTGCCATTTAGTTGTGCTGATTATGATGTAACCTAAGGTAAAGAGAAATTTCAGAGTTTGACGATTATTTAATACAGGAAGCAATTGTCGCTTTTAATACAATGCAAGAAATCGGGAGCGTACCAACAATTGACACCTACAACTCTCTTATAAACATGTTTTCCAGAGGGGGGCTTTATAAGGAGGCCCAGGTTGTTTGTTCCCGCATGAATGAGGCAGATGTCCAGAGAAATGACGAATCATTCAATGCGCTGATTGAAGCATTTAGCCAGGGTGGGCAGTATGAAGAAGCTTTGAAGACATATGTGGACATGCAGAAGGTGAGATGCAGCCCAAATCAACGAACTCTGGAGGCGATCTTGTATGTTTACTGTTCGGCTGGTCTAGTTGAGGAGAGCAGAGAAACTTTCCTTGAAATTAAGGAGTCTGGCGCAATGCCTACTGTCGATTCCTACTGTTTGTTGCTCTCAGTTTTTGCAAGGAGTAACAGGTCAGTATGTGTATTGATTCTTATTAGTTTTAGTACACTTCTGAAGTGGGCTGTTGCAGGATCTCTGCTTTGGTTTCATTTATGGTTACTGATTTCCTTTTACCTTATTTATCTATTATAGTTACTGAAATGCAAGAGGCTCATGCTTTTATTGATATTGTTGATGTCAAAGAGTTTCAAAGAAACCGAACATCAGATATGTCCCATTAACTTGAGACTACTAGAACCAAAACAGACTTTATTGCTACATGGAACCACAGGTTAAATTTTTGTATTTTTAATAGCATTAGAAAAGTTCCATGTAGAATGTATATTTCACTGGTACTGTAATTTAGGAGTACACTGTATCATTCCTATGCAATATTATGCAGAGGAAACGGCTATGGTTGAGCATAAAACTTTTATGATTCACACTGCTTTTGTGTGCCAATTGTGTCTGTTATAACACCTTGGTTACTAATTCCTCCCCCCCCCCAACACCCAAAGAAAAAAAAGAAAAAAAAAGAAACTGATATATTGTTAAAGCAACTTCTTCCACATGTGCATGTGTTTGTGTGTTTTGGTGCCGATGTGTGTATGCTTGAAGTTATGAGAAAACAGACTAGTGCTTTTTGCTACTTTTGAGGCATTTTGCTAGTTTGTCGGATGGAGAACTTGGGAGCTATTGGGAAATCTCAATGGCTTGTCTCTGACGATCGGCAATAGGATCTCTTTTCCTAGTTTCATTCTAAACCTGTTCAAATATGCGGTCTTTGTTTCCATTGTTGTAAACAATAACTGGCCAAAAGCTATGTACTGGATATCATTTACACTTTGTAATATTGATAATCTATACGTATGGTGCTTGTGGCCTCACTTAGGGTATGGCCTTAAATAGACCAGAGTGGCGGACTAGGATTCATGTAGCTAACCCCAATTAATTGGGAAAAGGCTGTGATGATGATGATGAATATTGATAATCTACACGTATCTTTGAGCTTTAAATCAGAAATATTTAAAGATTGAAATTTGTATCTTAATGTGTACACTTTTGATGGTCCAGTCGCTTTGGGGATGCAGTTGCATCATCTTTGGGATTCTATAACATCAACTTGTCAATTGCATGGGACTTATTGTTAGTGTTATGCTATGCTTGTGTGCCCAGTATTCCAGCTGAGAAAGAGTCACATTTTGGGATTTGCCTTAAAAAGGTTAAACAAATAGCATATCCATAGGCTATATATGTTCAGGAAAAGTTCTGTAGGGAGTTTCAGACTAAGTTATCCAGGATCCCTAGAAAACACGTATTCTAGAAATACATGCTGTAATTGGTTTCCAAAAATGAAGTGTATTTCTGTTGTTTGTTACATGTGATTCTTTTTCTCCCCAATCTTCACATGGTAGAATACGTGCCTAGAATCCATGCTACACTTTTATGGGCATATATGTTTTGTTCCACTAGTCTATGTATTGGCGTACCATGTATCAAGAGATATATTGTGGTGGGAACATCAATAATCTTTGTCTTATTGATTTATGTATTTTAAAAATAACATCAGCAATCTCTCTCGTGTGCTGGTGTTTTGGAGTTCCATGTTTACATAATCTAGGAATGAAGTACTACTTTGATCGCCGGGGTTTGATTAGGGGTGGCAACGGATCCGGTATGGGTTGACCCGGACCCGGACCCGGACCCGGACCTGAAATAGACTCTAAGTACCTGGACCTGGACCCAACGGGTCCAAATTGAACGTACTTGTACCCGATGGGCAATTTTGGACTCGGGACCTGGACCGGTACCCGACACTAGCCAATGAGGGGGTTTGGAAATCGTTTTGCCCCAAGCACCTCATTGCCTTTGCTTTTATAGATGGCGACCCACTTATTTCTTTTCTTTCTGTTCCCATCGATGTGAGACTAATCTTCCTATTTATAGGCAACAGTCTCTCTCTCTTCTTATCACTTCATACTTCTCTGTAGGTGGCAGGGGACCCCATCATTCCATATAATGAGTGGCACGCATTTGTTAGTAAGCTTCCCAAATGATATTGGATTAAATATGTTTTCCACGAATTTCTGAAAACCATCTTAAATTTGTCTGATGGTAGTTGGGAAAATTTATGGGAATCTACAACACTAATTTCCTTCCCCCAAAATTCCAATCCACGTTACCCTCTTTTTGATCGCAAATTAGGGCCAATTTAGGGAAAGCTTAACTAATCTGAGGGCAAAAAGGAAACTCTGATAACTCGTTACCCCATCTACATATAGTTTTGGCTTTTTATTAAAATACAAAGTATGGGTACTTTGGTCATTCTTACTGAAAGAAATAGCATTTCAGTAATAGTCCCAGCAAACCCTTCCGTCTTTCATTGCGAGCATTTATACCTGTTTCCCCAATCAATGCGCCGATCGATAACCTCTACCGAGGGGTTGAAGAGAGAGAGAGAAAATTGTTGTTGTTTTGTGGGTTGGGAAAATCTTTTAGTCTCACAACGAAAGATTTAGAGAGGTAATGTGAGGGGGTTTGCTATAAAATGGAGGGTAGGTCTCAAAAGGGGTGGCAAACTTCGGGTTCCGAATCTTCAGGTCCATTATGAAGGACCTGTACCTATACGTGGGTCCAAGATTTTGGACCCATACCTGGACCCATGTCGGGTATACCCGGAGGGTCCCGGGTCGGGTTCGAGTCCATTGCCAGCCCTAGGTTTGATCGAGCATTTAGGGTGAAATTTACATTATCAGAGGAGGTTGTTCTGATTTCTCCAGTGATGTTGGTCATGGTTGGCTCCTTGTGATAGCTATGGAAGCTCCTCCTGCAGGGGTGAAATATCATTGGGCTTGGCTGCACGAGTCATTTGTGGGATATGCTTTGGGAAATGGTTGTCAAATTGTCTCGCGCATAACATTATATGTTTTTTGGTGGATGACAGTTTTCATAGGGATGTTGGAATCCTGGAACTCTTACTGCCAAGCGGGTTTCTCACTTTTAGACCAAAGGCCTAGTTGACCAAAACAGAAACAAATAAAAAAATAGATTCATCCCGTAGCTACTGACTCTATTTGTTTTCCATATATTTCCTTGTCAATGTCAGCGATAGGATCGGCTTTTATTAAGTAGATTTAGGCCCTGTTTGGACATCGAGGTAGCCATATCCTGGCCTTATTTTTAGTTGCCTTTCTGGGCAACTGTGAAAATTTGCACTCTTCAACAGTCATAATCCAGTGGATGTGTGCAACAGTCTCCACGTTTTTAGTGATAGGGGTCAAAATGGATCTTTTTCCTTCTATTCTCCAAGGCAAAAAGGGAATCCATTCATGGCGATTTCTGGATAAGTAGGATTCCATTCCTTGAGTTGCACTTTGAATAGCGGCATGCCAAGCTGTTACATAGGTTTTATCGCTGCTGCTGCAAAAAGGGACATGCGCATGGGGCCTTATACGATTCATTAGCCGAATAAGTGGGCATTTTGTTAGAGAAAGTGTTACCGAAGTTATTAGCATTGATGATATTATCCTTTTTTTATCATTTACTGATTCCCTGCAAGTTTTTATCTGATTTAAATGTTTCATGGGTGTAGGGTAACTAAAATGTCTTCAATGTCTGTTCTATATTGATTCAGGTTATTCAAACTTCTGTTGTTGCCATTCTATTCAAATGTATAATCTGGTGACAGAATTGTATTTGCTTTCAGTGGATCCAAAGTAAGGATCAGGTTTGTTTAGGGCCTATAGATAAGGAGTAATTTTAAAAAATAAGTATAAAGAACGTGTCATTAAGTGGGACCTACTATTTTTGACCATTCTTATTCCTTGTAATGGCAAAAGATAATTACAGCTACTGGTTACTGTTTCGCATCATTTTAGTCGCTTCTTAGCATCTAATAGAAAGAAAATAAGTTCTATTATAGCGCTAGCTATAATCTTTGCCTAGTAACCTTCGATATTAGGATTCCTACAGATGTTCATCTTCGTTGCCATTTTAGACTCATGTCTGTGTGATTCCAAGGTCTCAATATTTTATCCTTTGGGTACATGAGTTGTTCATTAGTAGCCATTCATTACAACACGAAGCACTCATTGAGTTTTAACGTCTAACCCTCCCTGATTATTGGTGAAAAATCTGTCTAGGTTGGATGATGCACATGAGCTATTGGACGAAATGAGGACAAACAGAGCATCCAATGCTCACCAAGTTATTGGAACAATGATAAAGGGAGAATATGATGACGATTCTAACTGGCAGATGGTGGAATATGTGTTTGATAAGTTTGTCTCTGATGGATGCGGTTCAGGATTGAGATTTTACAATGCACTGTTGGATGCATTGTGGTGGTTGGGTCAGAAAGCTCGTGCAGCAAGAGTGCTCAGTGAAGCAACCAAACGTGCTCTCTTTCCTGAGTTATTTCGACACAGCAAGCTTGTGTGGTCTGCAGATGTGCACAGGTAAACTAACTGAACTGTGCTTTTCTTGTTCTTTTTGGTAATTAAACTTTTTTAAGTGGTAATTAAACTGTGATATCTTCTTCATGGATTCTAAGGAGCATTTGTTGTGTTTTATGGGGACTGTTCCTTTAGGAAATTTGCCTATTCCATGTAGTAAGATTCTACATCCATTGAAATGCATACTGTTTGAGATGTGAGGGTACTAATTACCATTTAAGTACCTATCTGCGTCTTGAGGTTGGTTAGTGATCCAATTGTCATGAATTCTCGCAGTACCAGCACCTGGAGTAAACTTTTGTGCAGAAACATTTCCCTTTTGTTTATAGTATTTGTGTATGTGTCCTTTTCTCTTAGTGGATGTTATAGGTGTTTTCTCAGCCTTGGCATTTTGATTTCCTAGTTCTTTTTTTTAATTGAATTTTCATGGATCAGGATGTCTGTTGGGGGTGCACTGACTGCTCTATCAATATGGCTGAACGACATGCATGACAAGCTAGCAAATGGGGATGATCTTCCTCAACTCGCATCCATCGTAGTTGTGTATGACCCTACTCCTGACTTTTATTTTATTTATTTATTTATTTATGTTTTTGGTTTAAGTTGATCATATGCCACTAATATGATATCTATTTAATATGATATATGGATTGTATGACAAAGATGGTGTCTTGGAGTATTTCTGTCGATCGTTCGTGGGATACGGGCCTATGTCGGATAGCAAAATGCTTGCACTTGAATTATTTGAAGGTTTTCTTATAAGAGATGTACAATCAAATCTATTTCTCAATTCAATAGATGCCCCAACAAAAAAGAGAATATGGCATCAGAAATGGTAGATAGGCCAAACAAAAATGTGATTATGGTACCCAAAATGGTAGATATTTAATAAGGAGGTGCTATTAGAAATAGGCCTACTGAATTGGAACTCAAATAAGAATTCAAATAGATGGTTTCTTCGAAAAAGCAGTGGTTGATCTAGATTTGTTTACGTGGGGATGAAAAAGGATTTCATTGTCTTTATTGATATCAAAATGTATTCCATTCCTACTATTTATTTTTTATTTTTATTTTTTATGCTTTATTTGATATTAAGTTGATCTTTTATTTTATTTTATATATTTTATTGTCTTGATCCTATCATGTTAATTTCTATTCCACCTGCTTGGAGGGTAGTTTAATAAGGGTGACGACCTTAAACTTTCCCTTAACCTGTCCCACCCCTGGTAAAGGAGGTAGATTGCATTAGGTAGGCAGCCAGTATAAAGCTTTGCCACATGTTATCATGAATCTTCATAGAGGAAATCTCTGCGATGTTTTTGTTGAAATTATTACATTTTGATTCCGGCTGATGGATTCCTTGGAACCTCTTTTTTTAATGATTTCAATTGAAATCATGTCGATGGAATTCACTGAGTTTTGAGGTGAAGATAATGTCTGTTGTATCTCAACATTGTTCCTTCCGTTTGTTTTGGCTTGGAATTGTTATGAAGAAATATATTTGTACTTAAACTGCAAAGTTGCAAGGAAATTATAAGAAGTTATAAACTCGAGTCATAAAAATATAATAAATTAGTAAAATCATTTTTTTTTTCGTTGTTTCATTAATAGAAAATAGAGTTGTTTCATACTTTTATCATTATTATTATTTTTTCTAAAATTTCTATTTTTAATTGAATTCCTTTGAAATAATTTTAAAAAATTTCACATTATAAAAAATAAGGAAACAATATTTGAAAATGTCCTCCTGGTTGGGTTTGATCCCAGCCCGACCCAATCCTATCTGCAAGTTGAGAAATTGCAGAGCAAGATCTATCACTGAGTTGTTTTGTTGCATACACGAAATTGATCCTACTGGTGGGGATAGAAATGTCTTTGAGCTTATGGATCTGAACTGCTAATGATAACTGACTTGCTTTTCTTCTTGGTGATGTGTATATATAATAGGCGAGGTGTTGTAGAGAAGAGCAAAGAGGCAGGTGGATTTCCTGTGGCGAGGGCCGTCTACTCATTTGTAAAGGAGCAGGTGCCGCCATCCTTCTCCATCGGTGGGTGGAACAAGGGACGGATTGTTTGCCATCGCTCTCAACTAAAGCGTATATTTCCCCTTCGGGAAGGGGATCGTACTAGGAAGGTGTTGATCCAGGTTGAGAACTCATCTCTACACAGTATTGGAACCACAAGAGGTCAAGCAAATTCTGATGATCCCGGTCACAAACAAGCAAGAGAAGAGCTGATGCAGGCCACATGAGAAAAATTGGCAGGGGACCAAGGTTGATGGCCTTCTCTTATGAGAAACTTCAGAGGTTTGAACCTCATTCAGCGCCCAAACTGTTATGTCTACTGCAAAATGGCAAGTGGGAAAGCTGTTTTGGTTTCTTTTTGAAGAAACTTTGAGGGTTCTAATTTTTGACTATCCTTACCCAAACTGATGCGTTCACCACTAAGCGGGAGGTTAGGGGACTGCGTTGGTCTTGTGAGAGAAGACATCCAAAGAGGATCTCAGGTAGCCCTTGGGGAGAGCTGCTGTTGCGCAATTTTTATTTGGGTGATTTGGAACCCCCCCTTCATGTATTTTAATGTAAGGCTGTATGTGTTATAATTTCTTGGATAATGGAAGATCATGCTTGAAATTGAAAATTTTTCTTTGTTTTTTCTTCTATACTTTTCGTCAAGGCCTGGCCTTTGCCAGGCCAAGCTTTTTACAATTTGTGAACTCTAGGCGAGGATGCTTATCTATGATTTTTATCGGTATTGGCTGATGTAATGCATGTGCTTGTATTTGATTTTTATTGGTATTAGCTGATACATTAAATCCACCCATATTATGAAGCATTTTAATATGTTATATATGTTATGCGGCCCTCAAAATGCCGTAAACATTTTTCTCCGGTTTATATTTATCTCTTTCATCCCTCTATCTCTCTCTAAATTTTTTTAATATTTATCTCTTTCATCTTTCTAATTCTTTTTGTGTTTTTCTCTTCCGTCTCTTTAGTTCTTTTTAATATGTATCTCTTCTTTCTGTTTTTACTTACTTCATCAACTTAACAAACAAAAGCCATTCCAATGCGATGCAAATATCTTTCATCTCTGATTTTTTTTATGTTTATCTCTTCTTTCTTTTTAATTCTTTTTAATATTTATCTCTTCTTTCTCTCTCTACTTACTTCATCAACTCAACAAACAAATGCCATTTCAATGCGATACAAATATCTTTCATCTATCTAATTTTTTTATGTTTATCTCTTCTTTCTTTTTAATTCTTTTTAATATTTATCTCTTATTTCTTTCTCTAATTTTCTTTATCTCTTCTTTCTTTCTCTACTTCATCAACTCAACAAATGCTGCGGCATAAATCTAATTTTCATAGGAGATGGGGTTGATGGGAGTTTTTATAGGAGAGGGTAAGGTACACACACATTGTTATACAAATCTCCTTGGAGAGAGGAGAGTTAGAGAGAGAAAGAAGAGAAAAAATATAGAACCCTAATTCTTTGTATTATTTTATAGTTGACCTTCATTATGTTTTTCTTTCAAACGGTATAAAAAAACCCCTGAAGATTTTACCGTACTCTTCATCTCTTATCTCCCTCTTTTATTCTCACGAAAATTAGCCCCAATGAATCTTTTTATACTATTTCAACCCAAAAACGTTTTTTTAATGGGTGGAGAGAGAAAAAGTTAAAAAAGTATTTGGGATGAAATGGTATAAAAAAATTTATTGGGGTTAATTTTAATGGTCAATAAAAGAGGGAGATAAAAGATGAGGGGTACGGTAAAATCTTTAAAGATTTTTTTATGCCGCTTAAAAAAAAAAAGGAAAGATAATCTATCATGAAATAATATGAGGAATTAAGGTTCTATATAAAATTTTCCTAAAAAAGAATGAGAGAGAGAAATAAGAGATAAATATTAAAAAAAATTAGAGAGAGAAAAACGAAATAAACATAAAAAAAATTAGAGAGACGAAAGAGATAAATATAAACAGGTTGTTCTACAAATCTCCTTAGAGAGAAAAAGAGAGTTATAGAGATTTATAGCGAGAAAGAAGAAATAAAAAAAGAATTAGAGAGAGAAAGAAGAAATAAATATTAAAAAAAATTAAGAAGAAAAAAAAAAGATAAACATAAAAAGAATTAGAGGGATAAAAGAGATAAATATAAACAAAACGAGAAAAGTGTTTGCGGCATTTCGAGTGCCATATAACATGAGTTAGTTTTTACGGTACCATATAACATAGGTGAGTTTAAAGTACTTAAAATGCCGTATAACATGGGTGGGTTTATGGTACTTACATGGGTGGGTTTACGGTACTTAAAATACCGTATAACATAGGTGGGTTACTTAAAATCCTGTATAACATGGCTTTGGATTTATGGTACTTCATATGCCGTATAAGATGAGTTAGTTTTTACGGTAATCAATTACCTTTTTGGATCTATCCGAAATTGTAATATTTTTAAATGATAAAAAAAAAAGATTAAGATAGAAAATAAGTAAAAATTTTTAATTCATCTAAAAAGATATCACTTTACTCCCAAACCATCGAGCCAAAAATATTCAAGTCTGACTCAAATTCGAGTCGCGTTTCTCTTACAACTTTACCCGCTCACGCCTCTCTCTCTAATCCTCACGCTCTTCTCTCTCCTCCCTGCTTTTCCCTTGTCTCCTTCCTGCTTTACCCTCTTTCTCCTCTCTACTTCATGTCTTTCTCTCTGCTCCATGTTTTTCCCTCTAACCTGCTTCTATTCAAGCTTAGTAGCATATTTTTCTCTCTATAAACAATGGCTCAGGCCCTCCCATTATCTCTCAAAGACAGCCAAACTCCGTCTTTCTTCCTAAAGAGTCCCAGAAGACTCCATATGAGACTCATTTTACAAAATAACCGATGATTGTTATCTTCGTTCAACAGCAACCAAGCCTGCAGCCCTAGCTGTCAACACTTCATCTCTCTAAGAAATGACAGCAGCTGAGTTTTCCCTTTCGCTCTCCCAAAAACTCAGCAAATAGAGGCTAAAAACTCAGCAAATAGAGGCCAGGTTCGCAGCCCTAGCTTTTGCTTCTTCAGTCTCTTCTCACCCTCTACCTCTTCTGCTCTCTACAAAAACCAGCAACAAGATGCATGATTTCACATATTCAAAGAGGTCGTTTGTACAGAGCAAAACATTATAGTGAAGCAAGCTATGCTTGATTTACTCATGAATCTCAAGAGATTATAATCTTGCTGGTTTTGGTCAAGTCAATGAAGACAAGGTGATTCAGAATTTCTTGAATATAGTATACAATCTTGACATATGGAAAGCCAGCCATGGCTATCAATAGATTTCTTAAAATTTAAGCTCTGTTTCTATTCAAACACATACATTTTTCTCAATTCTCGAACTAGAGCCCATCTCAAAAATTTCATCTCGACATCATGTCATCAAACTAGAGCCCACCTCAAATATTTCATTAGAAGATGTTGTTTTGATGTCCAAATATCCTCAAATTGATCACCTCGACATCTAGATGAATGGACATGAGAAAAAAATGAATTTCAAATTTTGGAAATGGTGCATCTTATGACGTATTTTTGGACTGTTAGTTTTTCAGATTTTTAAGTTTTGATAGATATGCTTGATCTACACTATTTTTGAAGCTTTAAATTTTATAATTAAATATGAAAATATATTTTAAAGCATTCACAAAGATTTTCAGTATTGAAATCACATTTTTCGACACTCTTTGAAGATGCGTTTTAATGTGATTGTTTAGAGCCTCGGCTCTATACAAACCAACAACCATTAATTCTAGCATGAGAAACACTTGGAAAATATTGATGCTCAAAACAACACAAGAAACACTATAAATTGAATGTCCTCTTAGTACCACAACCATTAATTCTAGCATGAGAAACAATTGGAAAATATTGATGCTCAAAACAACACAAGAAACAATATAAATTGAATGTCTTCTTAGTTTATTGAGCAATGATCTAATGCAACAGTTGTATCATAGTATAATGCAACGACACTTATAAAAAATCATGACTTTAAATTTTGCATACACACTCTCTTCATCTCAATAATCAAAATCCCAAACAAGAAAAAGCTCAATTTAAACCCTTGATATGGTCAAAATCATTTCCCTCCAAAAATGAATCTTGACCATTCATTTTGTGAATTTCAAGATCTTAGCCTTTATAAATTCAAAATCATTCTTAACATTGTTCATCTAATGATAATGAAGCCATCCAAAAAAGTTGAAAACGGAAAAAATCCTTCTAAGGTCTAGATCTAAGCATCTCACCAAAATGAACGGCTTATGAGCTCAATATATACTTTTTAGGTTGTGTTTTCAAATTTTCTTTTTTTATGATTGCTCATTAAAATGAAAAGAGTGCATATTTCACTATGTGTGTAGGACCTCAAAGGATCACCCATGTGTGTAGGACCTCAAAAGATCACCATTAAATTTGGCACACCTCAAAGGATCACCATGGACCTCAAAGAATCACCGTTAAATTTGGCACACCTTAAAGGATCACCATTAAATTTGGCACACCTCAAAGGATCACCATTAAATTTGACAAAGATCTTTATAACCCAAATGATCACTATTAAATTTGGCACAGATATCTAAAAAAGTTATGACATGGGTGTCGGACTTGACTTGATTTTTTTAGAGATTGATCTCTAGAAAAATTATCACATAGGTACAAATCTCTAAAAATGTTATCACATGGGTGTGGGTCTTGACTTTTCTAGAGATCGATCTCTAGAAAAGTTATCACATGAGTGTGACTTGATTTTTTTAGATATTTGTGCTAAATTTAATGGTTATCCATTTGGATCCTATACACATGGGTGTGGGAGGGTCTCAAAAGATCATTATTCATTTAGATTTGTTAGAATTTATGTTAGAATTTAGAATTCTTATATTAGATCTTATTTTTCCTATTATTTATATTTATTAAATTATTTATATAAATAAATGTGATCTTATTTTTCCTATTGTTTATGTAAATAAATGTGATTTTATTTTTCTTATGAGAAGGCGATGTTATTTTTCCTATTATTTATATATATTTATGGAAAATTTACATCCAGACCGGTTTTTTAAACCCTTACAAAGAAATTATTAGGACAACCTCTTAAAAATTTTTACTTTTTACAAATTTGCCCCCTTTAACATCATACCTAGCAATACATCGCATTTAGACATCATTTTTTTAAAGGTTTAAGCGGTTCGACGGCATTTTTTAAGGTTTAAGGCGGTTTGATATTGCGGTCTGATATTTCTATCATTGAATTGGATATTATTTTTTGAAGGTTTAAGAAGGTTCAATATTAAAAATATCAGACCACATTTAGACTTTATTTTTTGAAGGTTTAAGACGATCCAATGTTTCTAACGACCGAAGGCAAATTTGGAAAAAAATGAAAAATTGGGAGACAAGGACCTCCGCTTAAATTTCTCATATTTTTAGCTCAAGACGTAATTTTAGACCATAAGTAAAAACATCTCATATTTTTAGACCATCTCATATTTTTAGACCATCACGTAATAACAGTAAATTAAAACAGCACGGACGTAATTTACCCTATATTTATTTGGTGCTTTGTGGCCTGCTCTTTTATGTAAGTATTTATATTCACCTCTCAATTTAAATCCTTTTGCAATACAAGAAATTTCCTGCAACCATGCCTTCTCGCTCCCCCAACATCTTTAACTACAAAGTTTTAGTAGATTGGATCGAAATAAAGAAGCCAGGCTATACAACAAACAACATTTTCTTCAAGATGGACCT